GTAAACCCTTGGAAGAGATGTGCCTCGCGTTCCCAGTACATGGTCATTGTGCGGTATAGGATCGGTTGTCCTTCATCGCAGAGGTTGCGTAGACCTGGGAATTGGAGGGCAGTGTTGGCATCATATTCGTCAAGGTCTTCCTCGTGTGAGGGTGGGTCGGTGGAGTCCTGCGAGTGCTGTGTAGGGTCGGGTGGATCTGGCTGGTAGGACGGGGTAGGCGGGTAGAGCATAGCTTGGTGGCGTTTGGATGGTGGTATCGTGAAGGAGGGGTAAGCGAGGTTCAAGTCTGGATCAACTTCGGAGTGTGGGCGTTTGGTAGAGGGGTGGGTAACTGACTTGGCGGATGAGGTGGCCCGGTACGCGGCCTGTCCTATGGTTTCCATTGGCTGGACAGAGGCCTGTCCCAGTGGGGTGGGATGCTGGTCCGAATCTTGTACCGAGGTTGCCGTTGGCCCGGTGGGTTGTGGGTGTGGTAATGTCCAGGGGATGGTGGTGGGCTGGAGGGAGGCGTGGCCGAGCGTGGGTGCATGGGAGATGTGCTTGGTTGTGTAGTGTGCCCATGGTGGAGACGGCTCAAGGATCGGTCCGGCGGAATTTGTTGCTGAACGGTGCCAGATGGTCCTGGTGATGGGTGACGTGATGGGTCTGCTGGGAGTGGGACGTTTGTGCGATTGTGTGCCCCGGGGTGGGGCGAAACCCTCGTGAGACATGGGACTGATGAGGTGGCGCGAAAACTCGTGGGCTATAGGGTGGTGGTGCATGTGGGTGTTGTGGGGTCTGCAGTGCGGTTGTTTGTTACCGTAGCAGCGTGGCAGTAGTCGGAGGAGGTGGTGAGGCAGTGGTAGGGGATGGTGTGAGACAATTGCTGGTCGGTATTGTGATGGCATGGGTAGGAAGGGGATGTGCTGGAGTAGTGGGATGATGACGGGGAGCATGGGTGGCGAGTGCAGTATTGGGTGCACTGGCAAGGAGTGGCTGTGGTGGTAGGGGATGGAGAGTTTCTCGCGCGAGGTCCATGGGTCCTGTTGTGTTATCGGGTTTCTGTGTACGTAGCCATGCCGCGGGGAGCGAGCTTTGCGTGGAGGAGCTGCGTATGGTCTTGGTGGAGGTAGGTGTGGTTGGCTTGGTAGTGTACGTGGCTGGGCCGTGGGCGGACTTGGAGGGCAGGGCCTGGGGTGGGGTAGTGGGCGGGGATGGCTTGCTAGCAGGTCGGGGACGGATGGGTTTATCATCCTCAGAGAGGTATGGGGTTGGAGTTGCCGTGTGGTTGGCGTGAGTGTTGCTCAGCCTGGATGGGCTGGGTTGGCGTGTGAGAGGCCGCGTGGCGGCGCGAGTTGCCCGGATGCGATCATGTCGGGCCAGGAATTTGTCGGCAGCTAATTTGGAACGTAGCTGGCGTGGGTTTAGTGGTGTGGCGGCAGGGGGCTGGTTCGTGTCGGGCTCCGAATCCGGGTCGGAGGAGGATGACGGGAGCGGAGCGCGTATTGTGCCGGTTGCTGGCACGAGGGTGGGCGTGGGTATCCCGTTCGGTGTAACGAGTACTGTAACCATGGGGGTTGTCGTTGTCGCGGGTGTAGCTAGGGGTGGTGGCCATCCTGGGTCCGGCGGGGGAGGGGCCATGGTCGTGTCGGTGGGATGTGTGAGTTGTTTCTCGGGGCGCCGCGACCCACTTGTGGTTTACCAGGTATATTTGGGAATCCGATTGCTTGTATCTTAGATATATGGTGTTTTACGAAACAATCACGAAACATGCATACTATTAGTAGTACTACGTAATTTACTGTGGACAGATATCATCACGCCCCACCATAGGCAACCACAGCACAGACGCTGCTACACGTACCTCCTCCACCAGCATAGAAGTGGTGGTACAACCAGCATAACAGCGGCGGTACGTTGGTTTTCGTTCATGGAAATGCTCGACTAGCACTTCAAGATGGCGAAGTGGTCCCCAATCGCGTGGTCGGGCTCGCCAACTTGACGTTGGTGCCGTCCTCGCTGACCAAAGCGGTTCAGCGCCAGGCGGATCTGGTGCTGCGCAAGTCCGCGACGCGAGAAAATGTGCGGGAACTCTGCCAGGACAGACGGTCGTCCTTGACACTGCGCGGACCTTGGAGCCCCAGCAACATGACTGTATGCTGGACCCGATGCTGTGCATCCCGGCGGACTCCTCACACTCCGTTACTGGAAAGTCAACGTGATGCACATGTTAGACAAACTGTTTTGCTCTCGCGTTCGTTTAGTTAGAATAACGGCAGTCGCAAGGCAGTACACTCGTTAGATGGATAGTTACTTTGCGGCATTGTTCACAAAGTCGGTGTTCAAGACTAAGGACATCACCTCCGCGTGCACTGGGACCTCTTATGACAACAACAATACTTGACCTGTTAGGACAACAACAATATTATTAAGTTGTGGCACCACTCGAGGTGCGCGGCATGCAGTGCCTCATTTACATGGCGGTCGACGTCTTGGCAGTACAAACATCATGATTATGAAGTTACATTGTAGCTGTACAGTAGGGAAGTGCATTTAACACTATATTCGATTGGAGCTACTGTAAGTGACGTATCCCTGGGGTCACCAACATCGAAGTTGATGCAGTTAGATTAGTTGATTGTCTCGAGTCGTGCCAACACCGAACTGCTTCAGTCAATCTGCAACGCCAGTGATAGTATGGGCGAAGCGTGCCTGTGATTGCTGCTGGGTGTACCGGATTGTTGGCAGGCTGTACATGGTCTTCCACAGTAGCAACGTCGTACTCGGAGTAAGTCTCAAGCTCAGCTTGGTCTGGCACTTGCATAATTTCACCACATGATACTCTAGTACTAGTAGTAGTAGGTGTGTCGTAGTTTGTTTCGTAAATACCCAGATAAAGGGAAATACCAATTTGAATTGACGTGATATAAATCGAATTACGTCAAGCTGTAAGCTACGCATTTCTATTGGCTATAATGTGCAAAGCCATAAAAGTGATCCAGACACGACAATTTGGAGGTAGAAATGCTATGCGACTGATGGAACTTGTTTCAGTAACGTGATGTGGTGACGTACAGTATATACCGGTATGTATGTCGTTGAAATGATAGGTCGGTATGGATTTACTGTTAGTGGTGTAATCTGTAAATACCCTGGGTTTACAGTACTGTTAGTTTGGCAGAGAGTTCATACACTCCAACATCCATAGCACAGTTTTACGCTATTAATCTGTCCACCTTGAAATCCCAAGCTTTTTGGTGTGTTCGTGGTCACAGCAGTTGTATATCGAGCTCGATGTGTTGTGATAAGTTAACTTCATTTTCAACAAGTATTGCAGGAAAGCGCATAACCTGCAATAGGGCGGCAGATTGACATCCCAAACATTTCAGTTTTGACACACTTTGCATTTCTACTTGCTCTTTATCCCCCGTTCCTTCGTCAGTTGGTTGTTGTGGACGATAACTCGATTTGGAGGCTGAATCTACAACTGAATGCTCTCAACACTCGCGACATACTTACATAAAAGGAGGATGTTGAAAACTCGTTTGATAACAGTCTCGTGGACATTTACCGTGCAGCTCGAAATGCAAGCTAACGTTTAATTACCGATATTTGACCACACAAGAGTGAACAAACTGAACCTGTAGGAGTTTGAGCAACATTAAGTCTTTTAGGTGAAAGCAAGCGGTCTTATGCGAAATACAGAAACACAGTCCGGTGCCGTGATGATTCATAGAATGGAGGCTCTACGTAAGCGCAGAAGAGATATGCGGTATGGGCAATGCCTCTGTCGAAGCTCACATGAAATCAATTGGCCAATCATATCCAAGGAATCTAATGTTTTGATCAATCAGTATCTGTACGATGGCGGTCGTGCAAATTCCAATTACAATACATTAAATATACCGGTGGTCAGGTGAAATATATTTTCGAAAGGTGAAATTAACCGTTGGTTGGATGATTATGTCAGAGGTTGGGTGAAATATAATGGCCAAATTTCAATTCTGCGTGAAATATAATGGAGGTTCGGTGAATTAAAATGGGTGTTAAGGTAACGCATCAATCATCCGAACGGTTTTTGAAGCAGATTTTGTCGAATTTTTAAAGTCTGAGTGCTTGCGATTACCATTTTATTATATTGAGCTTTTAGCATAGAAAGAAAATATAATTCAAGGGCTATATTTTACATATGAAGCAACTGCGATTTGGCATGATTTGATATTTGTAGGCAAATTAATATGACGAAACTAAAGTATGATGAATTTTAACGTGCACATATTCCCGAACAGTTTCAAACATGAGGAGATTTGTATATATTGAATTATAATACGAATTAAAATTCGATTCAATATAATACTGGCATTCTCCACTGGATTCAAAGCTGTACTAATTAAATTTGGATCAAATTTAAAAACAACGAGTAAAAAATTCACTTCGCTTTTGCCATTTCGCTGGGCCGCATGAAGGTCCTCGATGGAATGCCACTCGCTGTTGGTCTTGACGCGTTTGCGCACAACCGGCTTCGATGGTAAGAACAGAATGTCTTCGCGTACCCCTTCCCTTGTCTTGATCCACGATCCCGTGCCAACGGCGTCCTTGATTCCATTCGCTTTTTACATGTACATGCGAGAGAACATACGAGGCAACGACATCGGCCACACACCACAGGTACGAAATCAATTTTGAACCAATTGGGGGTCTTACTGCTCACCGTTGGTTTGGAAAGGTCAACAAACGTCGAAGCGATGGCAATCGCCTTCAACCGAGGCAACATCCACGAGCTTGACGCCCATACCCACAGTCAAGTATAT